AGGAGCCCGGGGAAGCCGAGGGCCCGCGGGACGCGCTGAGCCTGGAGGACATCCTGCGACTCTACAACCAGCCCATCAACGAGGAGCAGGCGTGGGCTGTGTGCTTCCAATGCTGCGGCTTCCTGAGCACCGAGGACGCCCGCGGCCGCCGCGCCCCCCGCCCGCGCGCGCTCTCGGCCGCGCAGATTCGCCTCTGGAGGGACGGTGCCGTCACACTGGCGCCTACTGGGGAGTCGCTCCACGACGCGGGTGAGCGCCGTTACGGGGACCGGGGGGCTGGAGGCATCGCGGAGGCGGGGGGATCGGAGCGGAGCTGGGTCGCGCGCGGCAGGCGCACAAAGACGGGCTGTCAGGAGGCGCTCAGCGTGCCCGCGACGTGGGCCGGGCCAGGCCTGCTTCGGGGAGGGGGTTCTGAGATTCCACACATGCTTACGCTTACAGCAGCTGCCGTATGCTTGTCTGGGAAATTGTGTGGGTGGGTCCTCTCGAATAAGATCTGTGTGCATGTTTATATGCCAGGCTGCTTGTGCTCGTGTTTGTGGGATGAGGAGGCTTTTATAGGGTCATCCTGTGGGACCTCGTCCAGGGTGGTTCATTCTGGTGTCAGGCCTAATGGTATTTTAAATTTGATAGCAATATCCCTTCATTTGGAAATAGAAAGAGGTCTGAACCCTGAGGAGAATGCTCCTATTTTGGGAGAAATGAAAGAGGAGAATAAATTATTTTTTGCTCCCGAAAATTAGAAAATAGCTTATTTACCTGCCCTGTATTAAAATTTGTTGGGATGAAATACATGGGCTTGTAAAGAGTTGATAGGATGTCCAGATAAATAGATAAAATAAATTTTAGTTAGTTCATTGCCTAATTAAATTTTTCAGGATTATCACCTAACAGTACATACAGGTAGGATTTACTCAGATATTTATTCGTGATCACCAGCAGGTTGATAATAGGTTTCATCTATCAGTTTTTATCTCATTCAGTCTTTTGGAAAGCAAGTCTATTAAAAAATAGAAAACCAACCCACCCTCACTTTTAAAAAGTTGCTGGAAGTGTCAAAATGCTTAAGGTAAAAGACGTAATTCAGAGGTAGTCAGTAAAATGATATTTATTGAAAAGCCCTATCTAACTTGATTAAAACGAAGAACATTCAAGATTGTAGTTGTCAATTGTTTTGATTCTTCCAGAACATTTATATGTTTCTTTTTTTTTTTTTTTGGTGTCAGGTAAACAACTTTTAGAGTTTTTATTTATTTAAAACCGTAAGATTTTGTTGAAATTATTTTATTTCAAATAGTTTTCAGTTTATTTGACATTTTTATTACTTGTAAACTTGGACTTAATATTAGTAGGAAGTAACTTGCAATTATAATTCATTTACAGTGTATGAAAAAGATAAACATTTATAAAATACAGCAAAGCCATGCCTTGGGATCTAGAATTTCAAGAAGGAAAACGGTTGTGTGCTAGTTAGTTGTAGAAGCAACGTTGGTGGTAGTGATTTCCGGAAAGAACAAACCCCAGCTCACATGGTCTGTGTCTCTTCAACTTAATTCTGAGTAGTGCAGTTTTAACTGTGTTTGTGACCCTACTAGTAGTTGTCAAAGATTGATAAATCCTGGTGGTAGGTTTAATTTTTAAGGAAAATTTTAAAATCAGAAACTTATGCTGAAGTGAATTTTTTTTTTTTTGTCATTAATGTGAGTAATAAGATGTCGACCTTGATGTAGTACACTATATGGAGAGAAAAGTGGAGCTGTTTTCCAGCAGCCATTCTTTTCCTGCTTAGTTCTGCTCATGACCTGTGTTACCACTTTTGGAGAGAGCCTAGTCAAAGTTGTTGTTATAGTCTTGAGTATTTTAGGGCTTATTGATTAAAAATATTTAGGAAGTTAATACTAAAATATTGTTTACGTTAGTTAACTTCTTCCTAGGATTTACGAGTAGTTGCTTGGCTGAGAAAGACACATAACGTTCCATCTTGATTCTTAATGCTGAATAATTTGGTACTGTGTACCTTGTAGAAATTCTATTTTCAAGAAAAAATAGTAAGAAGCATTTTCTCTTTTGTTGTAAAGTATATAAACCAGTTGCTGTCGAGTTGACTAAGATTCATGGCAACCCCATGTGTGTCAGAGTAGAACTATGCTTCATATGCTTCATAGGTGGTTTTTAAATTATTTTTGTTGTTGAGCACAACGGTTTGTACATGTACAATTCAGTGACATTGATTACGTTCTTTGAGCTGTACAATCATTCTCATCCTCCTTTCCACAGGGTTTTCGGTGGCTGATTTTTCGGAAGTAGATTGCCCGGCCTTCTTCCTAGGCACCTCTGGTGGACTCAAACTTCCAACCTTTCATTTAGCAGCCAAGCGTGTTAACTGTTTACACCACTCAGGGTCTCCTCTGTAAGGTATATAACAGGTGGCTAGCGATAAGCAGCATTTATATTTTCTCATGTTATTGATTTGTTTTCTAAATGGAAGTGTAAGGAAGTTAAGTGACTTGCTCAAAGTCATACTGGTAACTCTGAGAACCAAATCCGGATCTTTTACTCTCTAGGCTTGGTAGTATTGTGGAATAAAACAGATTTTAGTTTGAATTGGGAGTTTCCTAACTGAGTGACCTTGTCTATGTTCCTTCGCCTCCCAGATTCCAGTCTTCTCATCTGTAAAATGAGAATAGATCACTTTTTTCACCAGAAAGAGGTTTAAATAAGGACAGTGGTGGTTCAGTGGTAGAATTCTCGTTTTCCATGCAGGAGACCTGGATTTAATTCCTGGCCAATATTCCTCATGTGCAGTCACCACCAGTCTGACAGTGAAGGCTTGTGTGTTACTATGAAGCTGTACAGTTTTTAGCAGAGCTTCCAGACTAAGACTAGAAAGAAAGGCCTTGTGTTCTACTTCTGAAAATCACAATGAAAACTCTATGCATCACAACAGTCTGATCTGTAACAGATCATGGGGATGGCGCAGGACTGGTCAGCATCTCATTCCATTGTGCATGGGGATATTATAAGTTGGGGGGCGACTCGATGGCAGTAACAACAGCAACATCATCAACAACAGAGGTTTAGATGAGATAATACATGTAGAGTGACTAATAGAAGCTTGGTACGTTCCAGGTACTCAGTTTTAGTTCCTTTCCTTCCCTAATCAAATGGTCTTTTCACACCACCATGGTGACTCTAGACCAGTAGTGCTATATTTTTACTCAGAATTGGGACAGATGTCTAAGTTGGGGTTTTGCAACCTCAGCACTATTGACATTTTTGGCTGGATGTTTTTGTTGTAGGGGCTGCCTTGTGCATTATAGGATGTTTAGCAGCATCCCTGGACTCTGTTAGATGCCAGTGACACCATCCCTCAGTCCTGACAATAAGAAACTTATCCAGGCATTGCCAGATGTCCCAGGGAGGTGGAGGGGCCAAAATTCGTTCTGATTGAGAACCTTTGCAGCAGATACTAGTGCCCAGTATTGTGTTCAGTGTGGAGATGTGGATCCTGCCTGTAACCCTCAAGCCAGCGAGTTGTCCAGCTGGGCATTGTTCATGGCGATTGAGTTGGATGAGTGAGTGATGTTGGTTCCTGCTATCATTGTCAGTATCACTCTATTTAGTCCCATGGGAAGAAATAGTAGTACCTCACATGCTTTACTGCCTTGTTCTGCGGCCGAATGTACTAGCAGTTGATTTTAGTTCTTGTTTACTTTAACACTTTTGATACATCCAGAATATTTGCATTCAGCTTGAATAAAATAAACAAAAATCTCTATAAGAGAAATAATATCAGTGAATTAGAATAATGATGAGAGATGTGGGAGGCATGGAAATGAGACCAATATTGGAAAACAAGATTGAGAAATTTTATTTAGTATTGAGAAATAACTTAAGAGCCATACACTAACATGGTAATGAAAAAGGGTGATATAGAACTGAAGGAGATTAAAAAAAAAGGAAAAATTTACTCTTTAGAGGATATCCTGAGAGTAAAGGTGACTAAATTATGAACTAGGATTTTAAAATGAGTAGTATATTTTAAGAAGCGCTTCTATTATAATGGGAATAGACAGTTCAGAATCAAGAAGGTTCATGATTTTTCATAGGTGGCTCATTAAAACATTTTTATTTTCCCCAATGTTGATGTAATTGTAGTCATAATAAGACCTTATTGTTTGGGGGAAAAGTTTATCATGTGTAGATTGAGTCAAGTTCTCACTTTCATACAGTTAATTAATGAGTTAAAGACCCTCAAACTCTGCATATACAACCTGCAACTTTGTCGCCAGTACACCTAACTGGCATTTAGAACACAATTTGCTGTCTGCGTTCTTTAGAAGGTAGTAACTGATGTGATTTAGGTAATATTCCAGATCTTCACAAAGATTAAAACTTCTTTTTTCCTGGGATGCAGCAAAGAATTGTTAATAGCATTAGTAGTAATATTAGAATCATGCATGATCCATCAGATGCCTAGGCCTTAAATACCCATCTGACAAAAACAGTTTATTTCAGATTTTGACTTCAAAATCTTTGATGTACCTTTAGGTATATAAAGAACATTTGAAAAATTGTGGACACATCTTGATTTAAAATAATCTTAAGATTGGTAATAGGTTTTCCTGTGAGGAACAATGAAAGCCTGTGTGCATACTAATAAAGGAATCCCTTGAGAATGGTTTCTTGGTATAGGGAACATTCAGGCTTTGTTTGGGATTTGAAAAGAGGATATGATCACTCAAGCTTCTCAGCAAGGTTCATGCTAATTTGGTGGGGAAAATGATCTTAGAATAATATCCTGTTCAATTTTAAAGAGAGACAGTATATTTGTGAAGAAGACTGAAGTAATGAAAACATGTTTAAAAGTATTAGTTTTTGTCTACTCTTCATATATTTTTTGAGTGTTCACATCCTGATCATTAAGGGAAAGGAACATATGAGGTATATGTGTATATGCCCAGGGTAGGGGTGGAGTGAATGGTGGATTGGTAAAAGGCCTTATCAGTTACAGTTAAGAGTTAATCCTGTTTGAACAGTACGTTCAAGTATGTGGAGTTAATTCAGTTTAACAAACATGCAGTGAGTTCTTACTGTGTGCAAGCCGTATTCTAGTTTACATGGGTGATGTTAAGATAAATAGTCCTAGTCATTAAAAATTGAAAAACCAAACCTGTTGCTGTTGAGTTGATTGCGACTATAGCGACCCTATAAAAGAGTAGAACTGCCCCATAGGGTTTCTAAGGAGT